AGTTGGGTGTGGTGTCACATGTCTGTAAAGCTAGAACTACAGAGATCTATGGTATGGCAAACTTCAGAAAGGGAAAGCAGCAGCTGTGTTCTCAGGACTGTTTGACACCATATGCTACACACACACACACACACACACACACACACACACACACACAGAGAGAGAGAGAGAGAGAGAGAGAGAGAGAGAGAGAGAGAGAGAGAGAGAGAGAGAGAGAGAGAGAGAGAGAGGAGAGAGAGTTACGTTTATACACCTGTGTAGGGATCCAGCTTGCCACGTGGGGCGAAAGTGCTATCTTGCCTGCCAGGTGGCCCTGGCATGTATTCTGTTTAGTTTGGGTTCTCTTGTGATAAATTCTGATCAAAGCCAACTTGCGAGAAGGCTTAGTCATGGAGGGAAGCCATGAGAGAAACTCAAGGCAGGACCTGAGACAGAGCCCTTGAAAGAACACTCTCCCCATAGCTTGTTCAAACGTCTTTTTATACGACCCAGGACCACCTGTGCAGGAGTGGTATGATCCACTGTGGGCTGGGACCCGCCTGTGTCAACCATTCATCAAGAAAATGCCCCATAGACTAGTCCACAAGCCTGAAGGAGGCATTTTCTTTCTTACTTTCTTTCTTTCTCTTTTTTTTTTTTTTTTTTTTTTTTGCTTTTTCTAGACAGGGTTTCTTTGTGTTGCTTTGGAGGCTGTCCTGGAACTCTCTCTGTAGACCAGGCTGGCCTTGAACTCACAGAGATCTGCCTGCCTCTGCTGGGATTAAAGGCGTGCACCACCAACGCCCGGGGAGACATTTTCTTAACTGACATTCTCTCTTCCCAGGTGACCCTAGCTTGCGTCAATATGACACATGACTAACCAGCATATTCCAAATTCTACAAGATGAACAAAGTCTTTACAGAAGCCAATTAAGCCTTTTGAGGCAGACATGTGTCTCTTAGCTAGTGTTTGACATGTGGATAGATTTTGAGAAGGCCCAGGTTGGGGGATAGTGATATAGCTCACTGCCAAGCCTGATGACCTAAGTATGATTCCCCAGAACCCACATACCCACACGGTAGGAGAGACCCAACTCTTATAAACTGTTCTGTGACCTTCACACACACATGCTTTCAAGCACATGCCCACACACGATATAAATAAGCGAATGTAAAGAGAGGAGCAAGAAAGAAAAAGCCCAGTTACCTTGCTACTGGTGGTGGGTCTTCGTGTAACATAGCAAATCATCCCTTTCCTCTTACATCATGATGGTTGGTCCTTCTCTCTCTCTGCAATGTAAGACATGCTTTTGTTGGCAAGTCTTACTAAACTGCATTTGAGCCAGGCAGTGGTGTAACATGAAAAATGACTCAGAGACTGATATGGGGTTCAAACTTCAAGCTGAAGAACAGAAAGGCAAAGTAGCGGGCCACTAGCTCTTACCACTACCTCAGGCCGAATGGGCTGATCCTGCCGCCTCTCCTCAGCATGGCTGGAGAATCAATGCCTCCTATTTTCAGTGTTGCCGAAGAATGAATGTGTGATACGAACCCTGCTCCTGTCTTAAATACCTCTCATGAGTCCTGGGATTAAATATGTGGGCTCTAATTCTATTTTAGAATGATTCACTCTAATGTGAATTAATTCCTGGGTGACCTTGGAGTCACAGATAATTGTCTACCTCTTAATCCTGAGTCCTAGGTTTAAAGGTTATGTACCACCACCTTCTGGCTTCTGGGACTAAAGGTGTGTGCCTGGTTTCTATGGCTTATGGCTGACTTTACTTTCTGAATCCTCAGGCAAGCTTTTAATAAATCATACATAATTTTAATAAATCATAAACACTTGGGAGGGATTTTAATAAATCCCAGCACTTGGGAGGCAGAGGCAGGTGGATTTCTATGAGTTTGAGACCAGCCTGGTTCGCAGGGTGATTTCCAGTACAGGCTCCAAAGCTATAGGAGAAACCCTGTCTTGATAAGTCAGATAGATAGATAGATAGATAGATAGATAGATAGATAGATAGATAGATGATTTTTTTGGTGTCAGGTTGGACTTGCTTGCCTCTTTCTCCTGTCTCTTGGCAACTACTTCTCATGTCAGTTGCATTCGTTGCTTTTCTTGATGCTGTGACTATTAACTAAGAAAAGGCTACTTAGAGGAGATAGTGTAGGCCTTATACGGGCTCACAGTTGAGAGGATCTCAGTCCGCCACAGTGGGCAAGCAGACCCCCTTGATCTGTAGCCCTGGCGAAGGGAGAATGTATTCTGATAGTCTTTTCCTCTTTTCCTTTTTAGCCACTCTGGGCCCCTGGGACGGTGCCACTTATATATGTGGTCAGTTTTCCCTTCTCACTTAAGCCATTTTGGAAATACCTTCATAGACATGTCCATGATGTCTTACATTAGTGCCCTAGGTATTTCACAATAGTATTAAGTTGCAATAAAAACGAATCATTATGCTGGCTTTCTTCAAAACAATCTTCTTTAAGAAATATATATGCAGCCAGGAGGTAGTGGCGCACGCCTTTAATCCCAGCACTCGGGAGGCAGAGGCAGGCGGATCTCTGTGAGTTCGAGGCCGGGCTGGACTGATAGCCTCCAAAACAATAGAGAAATCCTGTCTCGTAAAAACCAACCCCCCCCAAAAAGAAATATATATGCAACCGTATTCATTATAACTTACAAAGTGGGTGGCCTTTTAGTCTGCATTTTCCTTGAGTGCACACCTCTACTTTGTAGTAAACTTCATCTGAATCCCTTAAAACAGTACCCGCAAACATACTGTTGCTACTATGTCCAGACAACTTATCATATTCAATATTTTAAACCAGTTTTGGTGGTGCATACCTATAATTTCAGCATATATGAGGCCAAAGCTGGAGGATTTCAAAATGAGTTTGAGGCTAGCCTCTGTTACATCCTGACTCAAAAACAAGCAAAAAATAAGAGAAAAACCCCTAACTGACAAAAACAGTAACTGTCAAATTGGATTTTGTAAGGAATCATACAATCAACAAAAACATAAGGTGATCAAGTGAAATTCCTTTGGGGTCACTAGTCCTCTGCAAAAGAAAATTTTGTTTTGATCTAACTCTTACTAAAGTAAAACAGGAAGCTGAGAGGTGGAGAAGACTGAATGAGAGTTGCAAGGTGTACAATGAGCTGGGCGGTGGTGGTGCATGCCTTTAATCCTGGCAGAGGCAGGCGGATCTTGTCAGCCTGGTCTACAGAGTGAGTTCCAGGACACAGGCTCCAAAGTCACAGAGAAACCCTGTCTCAAAAAAAAAAAAAAGAATGTACAATGAATACCATGAATGACGATGGCAGGGGGTTGGGGGGAGGCACAGCATGTGTGGACATGAGGGAGCCTGAGGCAGTGGGTTCTCTCCTTCAATTATGTGGGTCCATGGGATGGAACTCGGGTCACCAAGCTTGGGTCACAGTGGCAAGCATCTGTATCCTCTGAGCCATCTCTCAGACCCAGGTTTCTGTGAGCATGGAGTGACTGAGGGGTTGCTGCTCCAGAAGGCATAGGAAGAGCCTTCCAGAAGTCACAATTGAAGGACAGTTTACTCGAGGCAGGGTCTCGGTAGCCCAGGTGTGCCTGGAGCTCACTGTGTAGTCCAGACTGGCTTTGAACTCTTGGCTGTCCTGCCTTACCCTTCTAAGTGTTGGGATTACAGATGTGAGCTCCACATCTGCCTAAAACCAAGCCATACCTTGCCTCACAGGTATTTAAATGTCTTAGTCTTGAAGAAGCAAGCATTTTCCGTCTGTGCATTTTTCTCCATTTCCTTGGTCTGGCAAGACAGTCTCGATTTTGTCCTGTTAGTTCCTTTTGGAGTTGAAGGCGTGGCACAGTGCTAGCCGGAGGTCATGTGTTCATCCCCAGATCTCCTCTTGAAAATTGTTATCCTCTCAAGACCTCTGGTCCTTTTCTGAGTCCGGTGCTGGGTCCCCAGCTCCGATCTTGTCTATGTCATGTTTTAAATCCTGTTCTGCAAAGCTTTGCCAGCCAGTCGAATCAGTCTTCTAGTTCTGATGGTGTTATTTAAATCCCATAGGCTATTTGTTAGCACAGTGTGGCACCCAAGACACGTTTATGTGGCCAAGATGAACCCACATTAGGTCATCTATGATCAGAAGTGGGACTTGGAATCCCCAAACTATAACTCAGCTGCACAGAGCAGGCCTGTGCTTCAGGAACACCCATCGGTTTGGTTTTGGTGGAGTTTGAGTTGAGTCTGTAGTCGGTCGAGTCATCTTGTCTCATTGCTAGGAAATAAGTACACCAAGTAGTTTTGGCGGGAACAGAACCATGGGTAGCAACCTGGACAACCTAGGCTGGACCAGGGCTGGATCCAATCCTCCCTGGCACTGGATTGAACGAGGTTCCTCAGCTACGGTAGGCACGTGTTCTACCACCGAGCTACATCCCCGCCTTTTAGAGGTCATCTCAGGAAGCTGCCCAGTCAGGCTTCCCACTCGTGACCCTTCTGCCTCAGCTTCAGCAGTAGTCAAGCACCAGGGATGACAGACCCCCATTACCAAGCCAGGCTACTATGCGATTTGGGTTTCCAGGTACCTATCACCTAGGCATGAGTCACACCCGTGCCCAGTGACCCGGCAAACGTCACTGAACGCCCCTGCCTGGACCCCTGCAGGCACAGCTCAACCTGATGGGGTGGGCATCCGCGACCAGACACTGGAAGGAAGTCCCGTGGGTGCTGGAGAGAGGCTCAGACGGGAACCCCCGAGGGGAGGAGGAGCTGGGAATCCAGCCAGCCCGGCGGACTTGAGCAAGAGCTGGCCAGCCCCGCGGGGTCCCGCGTCTCCCGGGGCACCCACCCGACACCGTCCCAAGCAAAAGCGAAAGGAAGCCGAGCGGTCCGGCGTGGCCCGGCGTGGGCGGGGAGGTGGCCGCGCGCTCTGGCTCCGCGGGACCAGGCTGCCGCTTTGTGACTTCACCGGTTTCGCAACAAGCCTGGACCTCCCGCGCCCCACCCACCCGGCTGCCCGTCCGCCCTCCGCCCTCTCGCCTCTGAGCGCTTCCCTCCCTCCGGGGCTGGGCCTGCCCCGGCTGTCGCGGAGCCTCCGTCCCGCCGTACGTTAGCTGTCTGTGTCGTGGCCACCGCCTCCAGGCAGCCCGCAGCAAGCCTGCTTGTGGCCCGGACGAGCGCAGCGCCCTCTCACCGCGATGCTGTGCTTCCTCCGGGGAATGGCCTTCGTCCCCTTTCTCCTGGTGACATGGTCGTCCGCAGCCTTCATCATCTCCTACGTGGTCGCGGTGCTCTCGGGGCACGTCAACCCCTTTCTTCCCTACATCAGGTGAGGGACAAGAGGGGCGTCAGGGACCAGGGGGACCGAAGTCCACCGGACAGCGCTGCTGAGAGGGAGGGAAGGCGTCCAGGCCAGGCGCAGGGGCGTAGTCTTGAGGTAGGGACAAGGTGTGACAATGACAGATGATCTCTGACGCCCCCTCCCCCAGGCCTGTGTAGACGGTCAGGGAGCGCGTGTCGGGCTCTGCCTTTGTGAGAAACAGTGCACAGAGTAGCATCTGGAGGGCCCGTCAGAGGGTACTGGGGTAGGTGATAAGATCTTGGGAAGTGGGAAGAGCCTTCACTGGTGGCATTGAGACAAGGACAGTTCCGAATGGATACCATTTATTATAAGTAGATCTAGGCACGTGCCAAGCTGCTCACCTACTTAGCATCCACTTTCCAAAAACTCCTGGTCCCTCCCCTCCCTTCTCCCTCTGACCCTGGATCTCACTATGTAGCTCTGGCTGGCTTGAACTCCTGGCTGGCTTTGAACCCACAGAGAGCCTCCTTCTTCTGCTTCCCTAGAGCTGGGATTAAAGGCTTTCACCACTCTCCACCCCCCCACCTCTTCCTAGCACTTTTCAACAGTTCTTGAAGTGAATGTCTAAGTTTATTTTCCACGAAAGAAAATGGAGGTTTAAACGGACTAAGACACAGCCATGGGACACTGGTGTGAAAGTACCAAACCACAGAAGTAGAATTCACACGCTGGTCAGAAACAGAATCCCTGCCCTGCTCGCCCTGTGTCAACAGCAACACAAAGCTACTGCCAGAGCCTTAGGAGTCACACATTTAGGATGGGTCAGCCTCAGACTCCACTGGAACTGGTGCCTCCAAAAATCAGAACCCTCAAGTGTTACAACTGTGGCACTTCTTGTGTTACTACTTAATGTTTCCTATTTAGTTTCCATCTTTCCTAAGGGTCACTGTATCCATGGCAAGGACAACAACTTGGTCCTCTTTAATTAATGGCTCTATGTATTTAGCGACAGGAGGAGCTTTGTCCTTGGAGGAACTTTAGTAGCTGGTCCTGGGTCCCTGAAAAACCTTGGCATGGTACTCATGGCATATGTTAGTCCCAGGTACCAGCACCTGTCTCCCTTCTGTCTTTTCTGAATCAAGATACTCGCCGTTTGATGTGTGTAAAAATGAGCTGTTATCCCTTCTGAGAAGAATAACAGCTATGATTTTCCTAGATCTGTAGTTCATTCCTAGATAATATATGATAGGGATTAGCCAGGCTGGAATCTATGTGGTTATGATTGACGTGACCCTCAAACGGGAGATCAGAGTGGGTCAATCAGTTGAATAAAGTCATGCTGGAATCACAGACACTCCAAGGAAGGGGCTTACAAACTAACAAGGAAAACCTTAAGGAGGGCTGAATTATGGGACACAAGGTCACAAGATGGACGGACCCCTTATTGCTAGGAACTACAAGCCAAAGCAAACAAAAGGTTGCCCAAGTGTGCCTGGGAATTTGGGCAATTGTCTTCTACCTTTATAGCAGTGGGGACACTAGACTGTTTCTGAGCCCTTGACATAGGGCCAGATGCAGGTAATAGCTAGACATCGAAAGGCGTGTGGGGACTAGAAATATGTCAGAGTTTAGACTGTTTGCCTAGCATGCACAAAACCCTGGCCTTAGTCCCCAGCACTGCAGAACAAGATGAAGAAAAGAGACTGTTTTAAAAGCCCTCTGCCGACAGACCTCTGAGCCCAGCCTGGTATGTACATAGTGAGTTCCAGGACAGCCAGGGCTACAAAGAGAGACCTCGTTAAAACAAAACAAAACAAAACAAAGCAAACCACTTATCTCAGTGGATCGTCCTCCCCTCCCCCACCCCTCTCTTCTCTCCTCTGCATACTTCTTCTGTGCTTCCTCTAATCACACTGACTTTCCCCGTTGTCTTGATTTCTGCTTTCTGGTTTGGTTTGGTTTTATGTGAGGCAGGGTTTTATGTAGCCCAGACTAGCTTCGTAATTGTGGCAATCCTCCTGTCTTTGCTTCCTGAGTGCTGGGATTATAGGTCTGAGTAACCACATCTAACCGGGTCTCCCCCTCCTCCTCCTCCTCCCCCTCCCCCTCCTCCTCCTCTCCTTCTTGAAACTGGGCATCCCTCTGTAGCCCAACTGGTGTCTCTACTCTCCAGACTCAGCCACCCAAATAGCGGGGTAAAACTGCTCCTGAGCCTGGCTCTCTTCAGTTTTCTCATTGCTTGTGACACACGGCAACATCTGTAGTCCTTCGTCCCGTGCTGTAGACACATGCACACCTCTATGTTCAGCGACGGCTATCTGGAGATCTGCAGATTTTCTCAGCTCTTTCTTCAAACACCATCTTAGCACAGCCTGTCCTAATAATACCTGGAAGGGTAGCTCAGACTTTAAATTGCTCCCTACTTCTCTTGAACTCCTATAACCAGTCTACACACGCACGAGTATGTGTGCGCACACAGGAGTTCCGTGACACACAAGTGGCAGTCAGAGGACAATTTGGAGTCTCTACTTATGTGGTTTCCAGGGATCAAACTTCAGTTACTAGGCTTGGTAGCAAGGGCTTTCACCCACTGAACCATCTTGGAGGCCATGTGTTTGCAATTTCAATCCACCCATGTCACTTGCCATCGATGGCCTATGGGTCTCCAAGGACAACCACAACTATAGTCCAACTGCTTGAGGCATCAGAGGACAACCACGTGTGCTATTTCCAACCAGTCAGGACCACAAGAGCCACGAGAGCTCTGAAAGTGGAGGTTACTCAATGATGGGGTGTTTGCCTTGTGTCTTCAAAGCTTTGGGCTTGATTCCCAGCTCCACATAAACACATGCATGTATAGAAAATGTCCCTCTCCCCAATCTGTTTGCTCCAGGTCATGGTGGACCCCTATTAGATAAGACCAGACAACTGGGTGTTTGGTTAGTAATGTGCAGTTTCTCAGGATGAGTTCCCTTTGCTGTTTGGCCATTGTGGTGGTCTGGTATTTTTAGCGCATTTATGAAATAAGAAGGGAAACTACTTCCCAGGATGACCTTAAAGTCAGCTTCCTTCTTATCAGATAACTTCTCTTTGTGACACTGTTGATCTTTTTGGGGGTTTGTTTGTCTTTTGAAAAGTCTCAAGTAGTCCAGGCTGGCCTCAAACTTGATATGAAGCCAAGGATTACCTTGAACTATTTATTAATCTTCCTGCCCCCACCTCTCAAGTGCTTGGATACTAGGCGTGGACCAGCAAGTCCAGTGAGTAACACCAGTATTCTTTAATATATTTCATAAATGTTCAGAAGATTCTGAGACGTGGAAGGATACTGAAATCCATACATAAATAAAATAAATAATAATAAAAAATAGGGAGATAATCCCAGTTGGAATTCACTGATGCTGTTTTCCATTTGATAACACTGTTGGTGAGGTTTGGGGAGAATTCCATTACTCCTGGAATTGTAAATTGATTTTAAATTATTATTATTATTATTATTAATGGGTGCTTTGTCTTATGTGTGTCTGTGTACCATATGCATACCTGGTGCCCAGGAAGCTAGAGAAAGTGTTGGGTCCCCTGGGATTGGAGTAACAGATGGTTGTCAGTCTCCCTGTGGTTGCTGAGAAACAAATCTGGGTCTTTTGGAAGAGCAGACAGTGTTCTTAACCATTGGACCTTCTCTCCAGCCCTTGACTTTAAATTTTAGCAACTTTAGTGAAAACTCTATGAAAAGGATAAATACAGGTGTGATATAACAGCTGCCCTTCTTGGGGGGAAAGTATCCTGTAGGTTTGCCGGTCTGTGTGAAAGAAATGCACATCTGTAAGGATTATTCTTTTCTAGTTACTTACTCATTTAGTTATTTTCTGTGGGTGGTAGGGAGCAAACTCAAACTCAGGTGTGACAAGGTCTCTCCCACTGAGCTACAACATTGTTTTCGGTAAACTTGGAAACATTTAAATAGTCATAACAAAGAACTTGATAAATAAATAGCCAGAGTGCAGTGCTTCAAGCCAGAGCTGTCAGTATGGTTTCTTACCTGTGGAGCACCGTGTCCCTAAGGATAGATGTCCAAGATACATTATTTTTTATTTTTATTTTTATTTTTTTGGGTTTTTCGAGACAGGGTTTCTCTGTGGCTTTGGAGGCTGTCCTGGAACTAGCTCTTGTAGACCAGGCTGGCCTCGAACTCACAGAGATCCGCCTGCCTCTGCCTCCCGAGTGCTGGGATTAAAGGCGTGCGCCACCAACGCCCGGCTTTTATTTATTATTTTTTAAAATATTTATTTATGTGTACAGTGTCTGTCTGCATGTATGCCTGCAGGCCAGAAGAGGGCACCAGATCTCATTACAGATGGTTGTGAACTATCATGTGGTTGCTGGGAATTGAACTCATGACCTCTGGAAGAGCAGCCAGTGTTAACCGCTGAGCTTTCTCTCCAGCCCCCAAGATCCATTATTGCATGGGTAAAAAAGCAAGATGCAGAACAAAGCTTGCCATTTTCAGTTAGAAACAAAAGAGGAGAAAGGCAAATACACTTGTATCAGCTTGCATGAAGATTAATAGGACACTGGTATGTTATCCAACAGTTTAATCTCAGCACTCTAGAGGCAGGGTCAGGAGAATTGCTGCAGGTGGGATGACAGCCTGAGACAAAGAAGACTTCAGCGACTATAAGAGAACTAGGAACTAAGCTCAGAGGTAGGAACACATGCTTAGACTGGTGTGGTGGTGCACGCCTTTAATCCCAGCACTCAGGAGGCAGAAGCAGCCAGATCTCTGTGAGTTCAAGACCAGCCTGGTCTACATAGCAAGCTGCAGGACTGACAGAACAACATACTAAAACCCTGTCTCAAGAAAACAACAGCAAAAAGACCAAAACAACAAGAACAAACAAACAAACAACAAAACAAAACACGAGTTTGACATGCACCTGGCCCTGAATCATTACCAGCTTCTCAAATAAAGAGACTAATCAAAATGTTTGTGGCAGAGGGCAGCCGAGGTCAGTAAAACATTATAA